TGTTATGTGATTGTTACAGATCGCTCGGTATTCGGCCGAGGATGAAAACCACATCAACCGCAAGCTCCCGAAGGAGCTGCTGCTGCGCATCCTCTCCTACCTGGACGTGGTCTCCTTGTGTCGGTGTGCACAGGTAAGCAAATACTGTTAAAACTCCCTGTTTTTTTAAACTTAGATATAGCAGCTCCATTTTGAAAAAAAAACGTAATTTTGAGAGTTCTGCTTGCTTACTCTTGAAACCAATCTCAATGTCAATGTAATTTCAATCCAATATAATTCTCAATAATTATTCAATGACAACACTATACAACCCCTATCGTAGCTGTTAAATTAGCATTCCGAGTACGGAATATAAAGGCAAACTCAATACCATTTAGTTCATTAAATATCCACGCAATACGGATTCATTGGGCGCTAGTGTAATCTCAAGAGTACGAAATTTCACAATATCAATGTCGATCGATCGGATTCAATAGTCAAGCCCCCTGGACATCCAAAGAATGTAGCTCGTTGTTTGGCAAAGCTGGAGCGAAAGCCAGCAGCCAAGAGGTTAACTGTGCCGTCATTTTCGGGAATTGTACTCCCCGGAAATGATTGCATTTGTGATACTTCTGGTGTTGTACTTAGGCTATGTATGTTTTTACGTATAGAAGTAAAGAAATGTTTAAATAGACATTCATCATCCTATAAATGCCCACTGCTGATCAAAGATCTCTTCTCACACGGAGAAGGTTTGAGCATTAATCACTACGCTTGCTCAATGCGGGTTGGCGATTCCAAACTTATAATTAGAAATTATAAGCCCAGGTTTCCTCATATTATTTTCCTTCACTGTTTGCTAGTGTCACTAAATAATCTTAGATAACTCGGAAAAAGTCACATTGGTACTTGTTTTTATAATAATGTCGTGGAGCCTACTGGATACATCGCCGCGACCGCGCACGCTGCTCATGAGGAAGAACCCCTCTGTGGTTCGAAACTAGTAGAGCTTTTCTCAGTACCATTCACGTGAGTTACCCACGATTTTGAGTTACCATTGGTACTTGTCGTTGGTAGGTTTCGAACCCACACCCTCATGCATGAGGAGCGGGTGTCTTAAACCTCCGGGCCACCACGACACCAGACATTAGACGATGGAAAATTAGTATCAAATGCAAACCAACTATATTTCAAAAACTATAACTACTTTTAAAGCTTTATGAGTTCAAATTGTAAGTTCAGCTCGGTATTACTAGAGTACAAGTTGAAATAACGATTACTACTGCATAAAACTAAGTTATTTATTGTTATTTATGGTGTACTAGCTTTTACCCGCGGCTTCGCTCGCGTCACATAAGGATAAAAAGTAGCCTATGTGACATATACCAATACACACAGCCCCATCGATACCAATACTTTTGTTTTCCCTCGGGAATATAAAATTTTTCCGGGATAAAAAGTACCCTTTTATTTAATCCAGACTTCTAACTTTACGTCTGCAAAAATTCAAAGCAATCTGTTTAGTAGTTACGGCGTGAAAGCGGAACAAACAAACAAACTCACAGGATATAAAACATAACAAAATGTCTTTTTATCACCAATGAGTTAGGCAAAGGTGCACATTACGGCACTTAATGCCACTGTATAATGTGACACCCACTTTTCACTATTTATGTTAAGAGTTCCATGTAATAGGGGGTGAGCCTATTTGCCGTATAAATAATATAAAATAAAAAAGCCTTATATTTCTTACTAATTTACAAAGAATTGAAAATAAATATTGGTTTTATGTTATAAGATATCCTTTACTTTACATCCTTCTCGGTTTACGTTACTTGTAGTAAGAACTCCCCGCTTTATTCAAAGTTGAAGGCCTCTTCTCGTGCTTTCCATGTGTCCTTGTTCTTAGCGATATCCATCCAATGTTTGCCAGTCACTTGGATTATGTCGTCTGTCCATCGCGCGTATGGTCTGCCTCGTTTTCTCTTTTTTTATCGTTTATTTTACTGTCATATACCGGGCACAATTCTAAACTCCGTGCTACTACTGTCATGTTTTTTAAAACCCAGTAAAATTTTGCCGTACCTACTTGCGACCACTTGGCCAAGACGAGGTATATAATACATATTATCTTTTATTCCAGGTATCAAAACTATGGAACATACTAGCGCTAGATGGCTCCAACTGGCAGAGAATAGACCTGTTTGAGTTTCAAAGGGATGTTGAGGTAAGTCAAACGAGTTAAGTCAAAGCATTTATTTAAATTAATCCTTAATTAGGCATTTATAAAGTATGAGAGAGCCATGCTTCGGCACGAATGGGTCAGCTCGATAGGAGTGATACCACGGCCTCACAGAAAACCGACTTGAAACAACACTTGCGTTGTGTTTCGTCGTGTGAGTGAGGTTACTGGAGGCCCAATTACCTTCTCCCTACCCCAATCTCCCCAATCCCTGAATCCCCAACAATTCTCAAATTCCTAAGGTTTAAATACGACAAGCACAGTTGGTGTATATCGCAGGTTCAACAACAACTCTTTGTGTGCTTCACAAATTGTTGTTCCGGGTCTGGCGCACACACCCTCAACACGGGAGAAACATTGAAACGTGGGGCTACTGTTAAAATTATGTCCCATTGTCTCCAGGGTCCAGTAATCGAGAACATATCACAAAGATGCGGCGGTTTCCTCCGGGAACTGTCCCTGAGAGGCTGCGAAAGCATAGGGGACTCCTCCATCAAGTCTCTGGCACATGTGAGTATTGTCAATATCAGTATCATTACACAAAACCGCGACTGCCTCATTGGCCGAGTGGTCGCAAGTGTGTTTTATGTTATGAGTCCCATGTAATAGGGGGTGAGCCTGTTGCCATATACCGGACACATTTCCAGACTCCGTGCTACCACTGATATTTTTTTTAAACCCAGTAATAGTTTGTCCGACCAAGCAATTGATCCCGGATTTATTTTACTTGGATTTATTATAATGTGCAGAGCGCACGACGTGTACACACACCAGAGTATGGCAGATAGACAGCGCGCTCTGTACCGTCTGTTGATCATATATACTACTAGCGGTTCGCACGGGTGCAATATGCATGTATTATACACATAAACCTTTCTCAAGAATCACTCTATAACATAAC